GGAGAAAAAATAGAGATAATCAATACTCCAAGGTTTGTCCCAGCGGAGAGTGTTTCAAATACTATAGTTTTGGATACATTGCGTCTGAAAGCCCAAATAAGAGGATAATATCTTTCACTAAGCAGGGTGCAGTAGAAGAGGCAAAGAATGAAATCCCCAAGGAGGAGAATAAAGAGGTGTACACATTTGCTGCCAAGGAGAGAGATGCCAGTAATTCAAGCTGAACCAATGAGAGACTTACAGAATTAGCATTGGTTGTCCTAGAAGGTAGTGAGTCTGAGATAATTGAAGTTAATCAAGACTCTGAGAGTGTGGCACCATGAACTATCTTTTTGCAAGCGTTAATAGAAGCATCAATAAAACTAACATTGATTGTCCAAGAGGGTCATGAGTTCGAGGAGCCGATACTAGACGCAGGGCAACAACATATAAAATAATTTCATAATTTTCAGACGTACATTCTACCTCCTGAGTTGTCACTACTAAGGGAGGTCCAACATGTTATCACTTTAGATAAAAATGAGAAATTTTTTAGCTATTTTTGGAGGACTATAAGGAATAGCCCGAGTGATAAGTTTTAGTTCAGCTCAGCAGTGTACTCACCGACAAATGGTCAGAAATAAGTGGTGAATTGTAGCTTTGGAACTCTCTTTAGGTGCTTTATGGGAAAGAACATAAGACAGTGAAATTTAGGTCCTTCCAAAGGAGAAAGAAAATATACTCTTGGCCCGAGAAAATGACATGGGGCGTAGCACAGCGGGATTGCAGAATCCCGCGTATCCGCAGGGTTTTCAATACTAAGGGAGGTCTAATTTATCACTTTAGAGAAAAATGATAAGATTTTGAGCTATTTTTGGAAGACTATAAGGAATAGCTTGAGATAAAAGTTTCAGTTCAGCTAAGCAGTGCACTCACCAAGAGATGGATAGACATGAGTGGTGAACTGCAGCTTTGGAACTTTCTTTAGGTGCTTTGTTGGAAACAATATGACAGTGGGATTTAGGTCCACTGAGAAAAGAAAAAAAAAATTCTCTTAGCCCGAGAAATGATGTGGGGCATTGTTCAATGGCATCGCAAGATCCCGTGTATCCTCAGAGCACGATAGCTCCTGAGATAGTGGGTTAGGATGGGGGCGGGGTACACCGACTTCAAATTTAACCTTTTATTTTCTTTTATTTTTAATTTCTTTTCTATTTTTATATTTTCTAATTAAGTTTTTTTATGAAGAGCTGTTCATATCTTGTTAATTTCTATTTCGTGAGTTTTCATTATTGCTAGAATTTATTCTCTATTTTAAGCTCTATGTAATGATGTCTCATGTACTTTTACAGGCGATGTATATGTATTATGCTTAGAATCACATGGTGAATCCTCCTCACCGCTTGTATCTCACCGTTTGCCATTTGGCCTGCTATTTTTCAGGCGGGACAGACACGAAATGATACCTATCCCCCTCCAAACTTCGTCGAACTCGCATATTTTCATTCCCTCACTATCCCACAACCACCGCCCTGCAAAATATGCTTCCTAAATACCTTCTATAAGCCCTACAATAATATCACAATTACTCTCATAAATGCTTATTCTTTAAAAAAAAAATCACGAAGATGTTTTTTTCAAACTTTATTCATGTTCCATGCTTAATGTTTCATGCCTTATAGCCTACTCTCCATCTGGAATGCTTTTGCAGCAATCATTGTTCTACTTCAGAGTTCACATCTCATCCACAATTATTGGCCTCATCCAAATCATTTGAGGTACATTTTTATAAATTTCTGATAGAGTTCATGTGTGTTAAGCGAATTTATAGACTTGCCAAAAACTAAAATCTTCACAGAATTTTTTCTTAGTTCAGTAAGCCCATAACTTCTAATGTCTGGTTAGGTTCAATTATCACAATTACTCTAATAAATGCTTATTCTTTTAAAAAAAATCAAGAGAATAATTTTTTCAAATTTTATTGTAATCATTATTGTACTTCAGAGATCACATATCCTCAACAATTATTGGCCTCGTCGAAATTATTTGAGGTACATTTTTATAATTTTCTGATAGAGTTCATGAGTGCTAAGCAAATTTATAGACATGCCCAAAACTAAAATCTTCACAGAATTTTTTCCTTTGTTCAGTAAGCCCATAACTTATGATGTCTTGTTAGGTTCAATTACGCTAATTGCTCTCTCCATATTCCAATCCTACTGGTTTTTGCTGACCTTTGAATATATCTATGACCTGACCTGATCGAACACAACAAAACAACTAAAAAAATGATATATCACGCAATTTCAATTCAAAACTTGTTGTATAAAATAAAATAACTCGAGTTGATCATTTCACAAAATGGACTGTGTTGATACGTCCGGAATATATAAGCTACCGAAAAAGGCTCCTGCAATTTCAATTAAATGTGATGAAAATGAAGGCAACTAACATGATAGTATGACATGAAAGTTTGATTCAAAACATCTCTATCTCAATCAAAATTATCTAACCATTGCACATTTCATGAAACAGACCACGTTGATGCATATGGTAAGTCAAAGTTATCGTAGGACGCCCATATTGCTCGTGTAGTTGTATAAGAAAATTCTTCACAAAAACTTACAAATGAAAAGAATTGCAATCTATTAAACTTAAAACAAAAATTTGTACATTTTTAATAAATAATTTTCACAAAACAATATAAGTCCGGATAATTTTAAGCATTGCACATGCTTTATGAGGCAATTGTCACCTCAGACACAATGCCTCAAAAGATGTGCATGCACATCTAAAGTCATGCATGTGCACCATACACGGAAAATAATTTCCTCTTGAAGTGCTCTAAAAAAATTGCTAAATGCTCGAACCTAATGTCAAAGAATGTTATGCAAACTATAATAAATTCAAAATTTTGTGCTCTAAGAATCGTGCAACTACTTTAAAAAATATATATATAATCATTTCAAAATAATGCAAAAAGCTCTTCTTTAGATCAAAATCATCAATATGTGGCATGATATTCGCTACAAGTCACTGTATCAATAAGGTAGGGGCATAAGTCCCACTTATCAAGTCCAAGCCTTCTCTCCATAAAGACTAGAGTGGATGAGATTGATACTTGTAGTAATACTGAAATAATACATCTTAACCAAATTACAAATGAATAATGTCATAACTTTAATTCATGCCCTCATCTAATCAAACAAAATGACATCATTATATTTTAGGAATCAAATACTTTGCCCTTTCAACAAATTGTTTAGTTTTACGTTTGCATACGGCCTCCAACGCACCTTAACAACAGAAGATCATTTTTTTTTTAATGCAAATTCTCAATATCATGCATAAAATGTGCAACCACAAGTTTAAAGTCTTAGGCCCAATGGTCTAAGTTTGGTCAACAAGGCCGATAGGACAATGAACTTAAACTAATCACAAATCATGAGTATGATTCCCAATAAGAAAGCGGACATGGTTGATAAAACTAATTAACAAAATTCAATAATTAAAAATTTTAATGAAAACCATTTTGATAAAATTTTCAACAAAAGAGAATTGGATCATCAAAACACCCAAAATCGTAATCATGATTATTTCAAGCTTAAATCCTGATAAAATATGAAAATTAAAAAAAATATATAAGGTCTAAAAATAATCAAATGAAATCTATTTCAAGAAATCTTAAAGCAATTATCAATTCATCCTCTGCAAAATTTTATCTAGGGTAATAAATTTACGATGGCCTCGACACAACTAGCAAATAATATATCACGTGCATTTCTATGATCATTCTCAGAGCTCTCAAGTTAGTAACAGCATGATGCACTGTCCGCGGATAGTGTAGCTTTGTTACCATATGATAGCACAAAAAAAAAATGCTAATAGTCGAGAGCCCTCTAATAGGATGCTTCATCGTAAAATGAGATCCTCAAATTACAATGCACAGCCATAACATGAAAGTTTCCCAATGGCCTAAATCTCCAAAAAGGTGAATTATAAAATACACTTGATAGAGCACAAAAACCTTTGAAGCCCAATTCAACTTAAAATTATTCCCTGAGACAACCATCTACCCAATCTATAAGATCCTCTTAAATGACAACTCATGTTTGTTGCAAAAAATTTTTTGATCAAATTAGGTCAATTATCTCCCCTGACTAATTAGATTAGGGCAAATGCAAGCCAAGATAATAGAACCATGAGATCATGATTAGGTTTGTCAACATTCCCCCATCATTTGTTTTAAGCTAAAGGCAATAAATTTCTCATTTTAAAACGAAGTAAAGCTACCATATGTCAAATACTTTGCACCAAATTATTAACCTTAATCAAAATTTCTTGCTCATGACAAGAAGAGGCAATAAATCATAGGAGCATGTGACTATAAAAAACCTACTATTAGGTCATTCAGTCCTAGCAAAATAAGGGTGAAATCTCTAGGTAGTACCTTATCTAAGAATCTAATATGCCTTGAAAAAATTTAACCTGAAACAAACTCTTCTAGAAAAGCCTCGCATGAATCTTCAGAACTGACGGCTGTTGTCTTTTATGTAGAAATTGAAAAGATTACACTTAAATAACATACATGATTCACATGTCACTCTCGCTGTCAATAAATATAGTGATTAAAAGAATTAAATATACGTCAAAAGATATTTTATGCCTCATGCAATTAAATTACAATAAAAAAAAATGAAAACCCAGCATATTCTGGGAACAAGCTATAGTCATTAATATTAAATTTCTCTAGTCAGCAGTGCGAGCTGCCGGTGAGATCTCAAGTCCAAAAGCGCCTAAACTGTGACAGCCTTGTAAGGCTAGTGGTTCATAATCATCTACTGATACAAACCTCACCATTTATCTCATCTTGCAAGGAGTTAATGAAGGAAGGGAATTGGGAAATAATAAATTCATAGGTATTGACGAGAACAATAACTCAATTACCCACCCTTTTATAGATTAAAAAAAAAAAATCTGTACTCCTGATTGAGAAGTTCAATTAAAGGCAATTGCATTACCAGTGTAAATATTGTATGGCTTCTGCTGCTCAACAAGTTGAAATTTGTTGATCCCACATGCCTATGTTCTGCCATCAAAACAGAAAATCATCAGAGAATGCACGACAACAGAGGTCCCAATACCCTACACTATAAAGCAGAATCATTTAGAGTAGCATGATACACACAATCTTCTAATGAAATCAGAAAATTAAAATTATCCATAAAGAAAATTTCATGGCTCACTCAGCACACAAATATCGTGACACAAGTTATGACCAAAAGTGCCAATAAAGTAATTGCTTTAATCCCTCTAAAAAGATTGACGTTTCCTTATGTTGATATCAAGTTCAATCCAAACTTTCATTACGAAATAAATTCCATATTCTTGTCCACGCGTGTTTCTGCTCGACCCAAAATTAGGCCTTAATCAGCACTGGATTTTTTACATCATGAAAATGAATTGGACAAATAAACCCATTAGGAACTTGAGCATTCTTATTATCATCAAATGCAAATATTAATGAATAAGTATAAACAAAATCAATATAATCTAATAAATTGGCCAAAATATGAGTTTTCATTTATTTACACCTTAATAAAAACAACCCACTTCAAATGCATAGTTGGAAAGAAAGCTTAATACCAGAATATGAAATCAGCTGTAAATTATATACTAACAAAACATTTAATGAATGAAAAACTTGATTTCAGAGAGTTACATATTGAACGGGAAGATAAGCATGCCCACAAACATCAACAAATAAGTGGGGCTCTGTTATAGTTTATTCATTTATATGTTACGCACTAGAGATCACGTAAAAGCTTTATCTAAAAGAAATAAAAACAAGCACAAATCAAGTATTTAGTTGTACATTACCCCAACAAAATCTTTTGAGTGGAACTTGAACTTTGCTAGTCTAGACTTTCAACATACTCCTAAATCTTATTTTCTTCCAATAAATAGTAAAAAAAAAAAAGTTAAAACTATTTAGTTAAAACTATTTAAATATTTTAAAATATTTTAGATATGTTATATAAAAGAAATAAAAACATAATGATAATATAACAAGTAAATCAGGTGGCTAAAATGGAGAAGCATCATTAGTATATTATGCAATAAGATAATATCATAGAGATGTGGCATCAATTATTTTAAAATGAAAGTGCAAAAGAATTGAAAATGATTGGATGAGGAATAACTACTTTAACAAGATGGTGAGAGTCGTATTCTTTGAAGCTTAAAGATAAGGTAGCAAAAGATACGCTAAGGTGGCTCAGACATACAAATAAGAATAAAACCGGGCATTTACATCAACATCTCATACAGCGCAATTCCTATTGATTTACAAATTTAACATTTCAAGTTTGATTTTTTACATTCCTAACACTCAAATCTTTCATATCACATCAAAAATACACAATTACTAACCCTTAAAAAGTAAAAAACACCTTTTAAATCAGAGGTAAAGTGCCAAAGAAGAAAAAGTAAAGTTTAAGTGTTAGATATTTAAATACATTGGAATTGTGCGATATGCATTTAAATCTTCCAATTAAAAAGAACACGCATAAGATGGATAAATAAAAGCAAATTTTAAAAAACGAGGAATTTTAATAAAACAGAAATATTATAAAAAGAAAAGATAGAAATACATCAAGGTAAATTAACAAATGGCCAAATAAATAAATAAATATTACATAAGCAAAGAGAAAATATGGTAAAATCTCAAGGAACTAAATCATTAGAAACTTGAAAGTTGCGGAGTGGTTCATTTGGATCTCCTTTCTTGAAGTCTGTTGAAGATAGGAGAGTAATGATAGATTTGTCTACAATTCCAAGCTCGCATGGTAAATATAAACTGAAATTTTCTATCCACTAGTGAGTCAACACTATGACTGCTCTCAGCTGAAACATATGGGTGAAAAACATCACATTTATCATTCTAATAAAAAACCATGAGTTCAAAGATCTACTGTAGGTGGTGAAAATGTATCAATTAAAAGCTATGGTGGTGAAAACAGCTACTACTGCATGATTGGAAGGAGGTGGATCCTCAAGACCGGAAGAGAATGCCAGCAACACTATGATTATAGACTTGATTGGTTTGAAGTGCTTTCAAAATGATCATTCGTTGACTCTGATCTTCTGTAATACCTCGTATCGAAGAATTGACTTAATTCTGGAAGGGCCTTGAAACATTCAGCGAAATTATAATAAATTTTGCAGAGTGAGCGTAGGATGAAATGTCCTCAAATTCTGCTTTCAATCAATAACCATAAGTAGAAAAGCCAATCTCACACTTCATCCAAATGAAAAGTAACATCTAACTCAAAACGAGCAATATAATTATCAACTTGTAAGGATTTGTTAAATATTTAGCCTAGGAATATAATGATGATTGGTTGAAATAATGTAGCCGAAGATGAGGAAATGATATCTAAACTAGAGCAATAAATGGTTCCTCTAAAACAACAAAATGAGGTGACCATTTTAGCATACATTGGGAAACCACTAATATAACGTAGTCACCTACTAAGGTTAGTTTAATTGTGATATGAAAAGAATCTACAAGCCTAACAGAATGGGTGCCAAGCAATATTAAATCTGAAAGAAAAAGAAAAAAGCTAAAGCTACGGATAGTTTAATATTTGGACGTCCTAGAGAGAATTTATCAATAATAGAGAAGCAAAGAGGTTTAGCAAGCTCGATGAACACATCATCAGAAAAGATTGCTTTAGCTTCATACGAGGAAGGGCACTTATGAGATGGTGGGATTGCAACTTGATTGAAGAAAACAAGAAAATGATTATTAGTTGGGGTTGAATGATAGCTATGATTTAGTCCGCCAACAACATTAACAAAAGAGCGAGATTGTTGGGAAGAATGTCATATAAATGGATATGAGAGATTACATAATAGGTGTTTCAATCGCCATCATAAGAAAGGTAAATGAAGTGGAAACCAAAGAAGCTTATTGAAGAATCTATGGTAAAAGAGATCTATTAGGGTTGGAACGTGGACCGAAAGACAATGCATTAAACGAAGGCAGGAAGGTAGTGAGCATGGTGATGAAGATGAGAGGTTAAATAAAAGCTCACCAAAGATGTAAAAAATGAAGACGACCTAAAAGTTCTAGAACTGAAAAGAGGGACTTAGACAATCCTATAGGAGTAGGAATGCGTCACATACCAACTCCATTAGACGTCGATAAAAAAGAGGCACGTGGTAGCAGAAAACATGGAAACACAATCAAAAGCATAGTTTCCTAGAGAGAATCACAAGCAAGCGACGGGCCAAGCAAAAGACAGGCACAAGCAAGCGACGCCTTCTAACCATCACTAAAGAGGAGCGTGCAAGAGTAAGACACACGAACGGCTAGATCCCCACTTATGCAACTCACCGCAAACATTTTCACGTGAACATCCTACAAGTTCACTCTGCGAGATTGTCCCGTACAAGTGTCCCAAAGTTTAGTTCCATTGAATATTGAAGCAACGCAGTCACTATTAAAACCCTTTTTCTTTTAATTTGGAAAAAAACTCAAATAATTTCTATATTAGAACGACCTTGAGAAAAATTGCAAATAATAGAGAAGCATGGAGGTAATGGGCACTTACATACATGCCGCTCAATTCCTATATATTTACATATCTAACACCTAAACTTTACCTTTTAAATTTATACCACTTAAATCTTTCATATAACATCAAAAATACCTCTATTTTAAAAAATTGAAATATATCTTCGCATGCATAGTTAAGCTGACATGTGTATGAAAACTGAAGTTTAGGTTTTAAACATGTAAAAACATAGGAATTAAGTGGTATGTATGTAAATCTTCAGTAAAAAAATTAAGCTAGGACATTATTTTCATAGAGAACAATGTAACATCCAATAATCTATAGAACATAATTATCTTGGATGTTGATGAAATTGCAAACCGCTTCAATGGTTATATGTTAATTAAAGTTCCAGAAGCAGGAAGGATAGATTATCAGCAGAACCAATTTTTTGGAGGAGAGCTCGAAAAAACAAGAAAAAAAGGACTTTAAAGGAAGAAAATGGAATGTACAACGAAGAGATGTTAACTAGGAAAGATAATAATGTTTGAGAATGAGCATGAAGAATCAATGTTACAAATAAAAATGGCTTCCAAAAGCAGGTACAAACAAATATTATGCTGCATGTAAATAGCAATCGATATTATTTGCATTATAACAAGTGTCCGCAATAAACCTTAATGAACCTTTTCATGCTCAATTCAACTAATTGTTATATGTGGTGTTCATTCTATTTTACACAAATAATTTTTAACATGATGTGACATTTATGCAACCCTTTTCCTTAATATTCCTTTTGATTTAATATTCTATTCCTCACCTTAAAAGTTCACATTCTGCTCATTTACAAAATATGCTCAAACATCTATGTATTCTATATAACCATCTATTCAATAGGCACCAATTCCACAAACTCTCAAAAAATATGCTTTTCCCCTCCATCCTTCATGTTTTTTTCATGCATTTACATTTCAACAAAACTCAACCCACCTGTTACTCATTTCATGCTAAGCATTTGACCTTGTTGCATCCCCTAAAATCATCCTTCAAGTCACCATAATATTGTCTTCCTGCGCAATAGCCCAAATGATTCTCTTCATTTTAACACCTCAGTATTGACTCTACTAGCTAATATTATAAATATATCATAAATTTATCACAACCAAATGCCACTTAACTGTCAACCATTACTATGTAGATTATAAAGCTTCATCCACTAAATTCTAATCCATTTCTCGCCAAAGAATTTTATAGAATTATTTTGAACTTTCCATTTACTTCATAACTAAATTATAAGAATTATCTCATTTGTGAATACCACATATACTTCTGACTTTCAATTAAAGTTCATCCACCATTATAAAAGAGAATACCTACAACAAATTTAATGTTTGATGTAGCCTAAATGTTGTTAGTAACTCTACAATCAAACCATAACTAATTTAATTTCTCGTCACCACGTCATCATAATATTCCTGATAACTTCATCATACTCCTCACAGACATTCCGACCAAATAAATTGCTCTC